CCCCCTTTTAAATGATGAGACTGAACCTAGAAAAGAATAATGGATTGGACCGAGGTTATACGTTGCTAGTTACTTTTAGAATGAATAACAGAGCTCAGGTGCCTAGAATGCCAGTAGAAAGAATATTATGATGACACATGATGTCTGATTTTGGCTGAAAAAAAAGCTGTCAGCTTATCCAAACACTGACCACCAAAGGTATATTCAGGGTTCATATCTGTTCTAGAATGGCTTAACACTTACATTAAAATGGCCATTATGCTTGTAATATAAATAGGATACTTGAATTCAATTGAAGCCAATATCCTCAGTAGTGGAAATTCTCTGGTATTTGGATGGCAAAAGGACCTATTTTTCTAGTTAGTAAATCTTTAGGAAATTTCATGATGGAGAACATATTCTGGTCTAGAGGATGCATGAAGTGGCAAAAATGATTTAGAAAAGAAAGAACCATTTGGGTGGAAGTAGAATAAGTGACGAGAACCTACTTTAACCCTACTCTATTGATGACTATTGTGCAATACTGTAACGATGGCCTAACTTTTGATGTTTCCGTCTTCTTCATAGATCTGGAAAAGTAGTGTCCTAAACCCTAGGCATTTTGGAAGAATTTTCTGGAAAGCACAAAGTGTTTGGTGCTAAATATATTAATTGTGTAGTCCTTTGAATCAGTATGGCAAATGATTAACATTTACCCCCAAATAAAAATTTTGGGACGTTGACTGTGGCCACTTAACCTTTACATTTGGATTAAGTCCTGGGGAACTGAAAACAAAGCAGACCTAATTTATTTATTAATTTAAGATTTTACTGCCCCAAATATTATTTAAAAAGCAAACTTTATTTTTATACCATTGGGCCTGCATGGCGAATGCAAGCTTTTAAAACAATTTGGCAAGATTTTTGTAGTTACTTTTTCTCTTTATGTAAATTTTCAGTATGAACTGCTCTTCCCTTCTTTCTCTTCTCCACTCCCCTCCTTCCTTCTCAGTGAGATAGCCTTTCTGTTAAAATAATGACAATGGTTTGTCTACAACCACTCATGCGCAGCAGTTGGCACTTCGGTTTCAGAGGTCTTGATGTGTTGACTTGTTGAAAATGACTCATGGGCATTGTTGAATGTACGTATTAAAAGAAGTTATTGCAGCCTGTCCTATGCTGAGTAGCACATTTAATTAAAGCCATTATTCAAGAAGATATACTGGGACCATTGTGTTTGTTCCACAGATTCAGAACGATCAGTGCCAGGAGATGGACACCACGGCGGACAAGTGGGTCAAGCTCACGGACAGTGGGGAGTGGGGCTCGCATTCTGTAAGTCTCTCTTTGTTCCTCTCCTCCATCACCAACCCCATTCTTCTCCTTCCTCTGCCAACCTTTTTTAAAAGTTTATTTTTAAGGGAAAAAAAACTTCAAAATTGTTCATGAATTTAGAAAATTTCCAGTTAGAGACCAAGTTTCATGGACTCAGTCTCTTTCTAGGTATTTTTCTCTACCTTTCCCTTTTTCCTTAGGCTCTTTACTTTCTCTTTCCCATCATACTTCAACTTTCCTCCTCTCAAAGGGGGCAATAACAAGAAATAAGGCTGATCTAACCAATATACAAAACCTCTGAGTATCTACGTTTACAGATGTGCCTGTCACATGGGAGAGAATCAGTGGCTCTTGCATTGGAAGGATCCTTGAGTTCCTTTCACCCAGCTTTCTCTGCAGTCGTCCCCTGCCCCACTCGCACCCCCCATAAGTGATTTTTCAAGCTTGCTTTGTTGGGGAACTGTGCTGACCCTATTGTCGGGTAGCTCTGATTACCACAAAACTCATCTGTGTTTGGAACCTAAACTGTCTCCTGTCTATTTGCCACTGATGGTCAAAGTTTTTTGCCTTTTGAAAATGCCTTCCCATTTGAAATAAAGTGACTACCTAATTCTCCACACTATAAACTGTACTAGAAAATGCTTGAAGGCA